ACACACACACACACACACACACACCACACACACACACACACACACACACACACACACACACACACACACACACACACACACATACTCACTCACACACACCACATACACACATACGCGCGCGCGTATTCGCTGTCAGTTAAATTGACTGTAGAAATACATTTGATACGATGTGAGCAGTGCTGAAGCCGATTACCTTATCAGCAATTTTGTTCAGCTTTAATTATTATAAGGTTTATCTGTACGAAATACATCGTGAACGAATAACGAGATAATAATAAACGAATAACGAGATAATAATAAACGAATAACGAGATAATAATAAACGAATAACGAGATATAAATAAACGAATAACGAGATAATAATAAACGAATAACGAGATAATAAAAACGAATAACGAGAGAATAATAACGAATAACGCAGAATAATAAAACGATAACGAAATAATAATAACGAATAACGAGATAATAATAAACGATAACGAGATAATAATAACGAATAACGAGATAATAATAACGAATAACGAGATTAATAAACGAATAACGCAGATTAATAATAAAGAATAACAGCGATATAATAACTAATAACGGCTAATAATAAAACGAGATAATAATAAAACGAATAACGAGATTAATCAATAAACGAAATAACGAGTAATAATAAACGATAACGAGAAATAATAAACGGAATAACGAGATAATAATAAACGAATAACGAGATTAATAATCAACTGAAAACGAGATAATAATAAACGAATAACGAGAATATAACGCATAACGAATATGAATACGAGATAATAATAACGAATTAACGAGATAACGTGTGTACACATTGGCAGGTCTGCATGCGTGTGTACACATTGACAGGTCTGCATGCGTGTGTACACATTGACAGGTCTGCATGCGTGTGTACACATTGACAGGCGTGTCGCAGGACGTGTCTGCAGCGCTTTACCGCCCAGTCGTGCGGATGCTACAATCCCAAATACCCTGTCACTCCTGCCGGCGTTGCCATGCCAACCGACGAAGCTGCGAAGTTGCCGAGCTGCACTAGAGGGCGAGCGGCAAATACGAGCAGAGATCGGGCAGGTGAGGAGTCAAGGGATAGAATCCCTACACTTCTCTTCTCTCACTTCACTTCCCTTACTTCACTTCAACACTTCACGTAACTTAACACTTGTCACTTCTCTCGTCCGGCATTGTCCTCTAGCAGGCGGAGATTTTTCCATGCCGATGTTGACAAATTAAATACGTACAACTAATTAATAATAAATTTATTAATTTAATTTAATTTTTTTATTTTAATTAATTTTAAAAGCTCGACAGTCGTAATTCGTTTCTCAATGACCACGACCTATCAATTCGGTGTCGACTGCATGCATCAGTAGTTGCGTATTTATGAGACGATGACGTCACTGATAGATAGGTCCGACACGAAATTGATAAGTGTTCGTGGTCATTCAGAAACGGGGTCATTACAACTGTCGAGTTTTTAAAACTAATTAAAATTTAAAATTAATTTCATTTCATTAATTAAACTCGGCCCGGTTATTTATCAATTGCTTTTTTACACATAGACACGCACGTACGCACGCATAACGGACGCATAAGCACTTTTAGCATCAAAAGCGTGTCATAAGAAATCGACTGATGTCTTGTGTTTGTCTGCGGAAGAGGTCGAAGCAGGAGTGTGCATGACGAAGATAGAAATAGCTGCTTACCATGGAACCCTGCAGTGCGTTTGTCCCCGTAATTGCCAGTAAGTATTGCAGCCATGTATGTTTAAATTTGAACTTAAAACTGAATTCCGTTACGACGAATGAAATTGAGATTTTCTGTTATCGTTACGAATGAATGAACGAACTAATTCTACAATTGCTATTATAATTCTGCAATAAGATTCTCACGAATAAATGAACTAATTCTACAATTACTACTATAATTCTACAATAAGATTCTCACGAATGAATGAACTAATTCTACAATTACTATTATAATTCTACAATAAGATTCTCACGAATGAATTAACTAATTCTACAATTACTATTATAATTCTACAATAAGATTCTCACGAATGAATTAACTAATTCTACAATTACTATTATAATTCTACAATAAGATTCTCATAAAC